CACATTTTTTAATATTTCGCCCGAGACTGTGAAAAACTGTAAAAACATATATGTGTTTAAAAAATTGACAGAACAATTCATATTACAAAAAATTGTTACACTTTTGAGAATTCCTCAACTAGAACTAGAAGTTTTTCCTTTTTTTAATATGTGTGACTGTTTATAAATCATTTATTTATTACTTACTGTATATACAGCTCAATTTTTATTTGTTTTTGTTCAATTGTTCGATTTTACTTGTATTTTATTTCACTATCATTTTATTTCAGGTTTATTTTGCTTAATATAATTGTTATTTTCAGCTATTCATTTTTAATTCTTCTTTTTAGTTGTTTCAGGGATTTCAGGCATTTCATATAGTAGACAATTGAAGTCCGAACCAGTGAAATTCAAAATGAGTGCATATCATTTCCTTCATGAAGCCCAATCAAAAACCTCAAAAAACGTTTCCACATTTGGTTCAATTAAGACACCATCAGAGCAGAAAAATCGAAATCAACGATTTTAATTTTTTTTTGGTTATTTTGAAAACGGCCCCTGGTATTTTGCATTTCTGAACATGATTCCATTACATTCTGAAACGTATCTTCTATCGTTACCGAGATAGCAGTAGTTTGCAATGAAGTTTTTGCCAAACGGTATTGGTAGAGAAAAAAAAACCCTAATTATGTTGATTTTGTTTCCACTGATATTTGTTGTGGATTTCCTCATTAAAATGAGCGTTCAACACTTAATTTCTCGATAACGAATGAACCAGAGGTGATAGATGGATAAAAGACCTTTCATCCGATTGTGACTTACACGGGGAGGGGCAAATTTTCGTCGGAACGCCCTGTATAATATGTTTCACTCCATCAATCTTCTAATGATGTCTAATGTATTATGTATGTCTACATTGAAAAACTCTTTTCATATATTGTCGATATTTTTTACATTGTTTTATACTCTCCATGCTCCATTTCCATAATTTGGTTCATTTTGTTCAATTTCTACTTCATTTTTCGTTATCTTGATATCATTATCATACCTTTTTTGAAATGTTTCAAATGAGGGGGAAGTTTATTGTAAACGTTGCATATCTGATACGTAAATGATCGCTCAAAAAATTCATGAGTGTGTATTGAAGGAGTTAGTAACCCTTTGTGCCGAACTTTCAAGTTGTGTAGGTACGTCAGTCCAAAATTATATAGATAAGTCGGAATTTTATTTAGATAACCTTATGATGGATACACGCTCAATGTAGCGACCTTCGGTTTTCCATATTGAACCAACAAGTTTCTGACAGCTTTGATGAGATTCTGTTCCTTCTACGAATAAGACGAAGGCAGGAGTTTTGAATCTTTGGGAGTCTTTTCTTATTCCTAATTGTGAGACTTGGTATATAGAGTACATCTGCATAGTTCAAAGATGAAAGAGTAGGTCTGTCACATAGAGCAATTATTTTGTTTTTAGGGAGGAATTTTCGATTTCCGAAAATCAGCTTGAGTGAGAGGTATCCTGTTTTAGTATCAAATTTTGCAATATTCACTTGTAGGTGCATTTATCGCCATTATTTGGATCATCAACAGCTTGATATACCTATCTCTTGATATTGACATATGAAAGCTATAAATCTCAATCATTTTGCAGTTTGATTTACTCATTTTGTGTAATAAAATATTATATTGTGATGGTGGTATTTTATGTCGGACCAAGTTGCTCCATAGAAAAATGTGTTTTTGAATACAAGCCAGCAGAGTGTTCATTTCAAATTTCTTCCTCTCAAAAAGTGTTAGTATAATCCCAATTGTATATGAAACATTCCGAAATAAAATTTCGTGAATGAGCCTACGTTTTCAGAGCCAGAATTTTATCAAAATTCGTTCATCACTAAAGGGGTTATAAGAAAATTTAAAAAATATATTGGAATGGCGGACAATTATTACATCAAACCATCTTTTCTTATAACTTTGTCAATGATAAACACATTTAGAAGAAGTTCTGCACACTGACAAACCAAAACCTCCTGAATTCAGTGGCTTAGTAGGAGTGGTCAGTTGTAAAACTGAAGTGGTGAAAACAGTTGACGATTTTACAAACAATTTCAGACATAAAGGGCGAACTTATTGAGTTGAAGGATATTTGCAAAGAATTCAATTATTATTTTGCGGAAATACGAGCAAAATTAGCTGCGAACATACCTAATAAGAAAATCGAAAAAGGGGAAGTTAGACTTTCAAATTCTATGTCCAACACTGACCCGTATGAGTAAGAGAAATCATAAGTTACTTGAAAGATAAAAAATCACCTGGTCTAGACGATATCTCGAGTGAAACACTAAAAACATCATCTGAGTTCATTTCTAAACCAATTTCTCATAACATATTCAATATGGCTATAGAACAAGGAGTGTTTCCAGAACATCTGAAAGAGACAAAGATTATTCCAGTCTACAAAACAAATGTTTCAAATCATCGGCCCTTGTCAATCTTGTCCTCCATTTCGAAAATATTTGAAAAGGTTATCAAAAAAATATTGATTTCTTATTCAAATAGAGAAAACATTTTGTCAAAATATTAGTACGTATTTCAAAAAATCGATCAATCGAGGATGTTACAGCAGATGTAATATCCAGAATACATAAGGCTATAGACGTGTACCACTTCATTTCACAAAAGCATTTGACACCGTAAGTAACCTGGAAAATCTGGGTGTGAGGTGTAATGTTAACCCTAGTTTCCTTGAATATCGTACCCAAAGACTCCAGATAAATGGCGAACTGAATGAAAAAAGACATGTATCTTGTGGTCTTAGGTCCTATTTCATTCATTGTATACCAACTTGAATTAATTTTTTTCTCAACAATCTTGCGAAAAGATAGAAATATTGCTAAACGCGATCTGGAATAATCAACTAAGTGGTTTAGAGTAAATTCACTCACAATCAACTTTGAAAACACTAAAGTACTTCCATTCACTTCGTACGAGTCATTTAAACCAAAATATATAAGTATAAACATCAACTTCTAAAATGACAAGTTAGTTAAATCAACAAAGTACTTAGGTGTTCACATAGATAGCTTTCTCAGATGGAATGTTCAACTACCTAACTTGAAAAATTAATTGAGAGGTTTCGCCAGCTCCAAAATATATAACCCTTAACGAAATGAAAATATACCACGCATTTGTAGAAAATATTCTATAATACCTAGGATATTGGTTGGGGTGGTGCAAATGCAACTGCACTCGATCCACTATAAAAAATACAGAAATGTATTTTGAAAGTTATATATAACAAAATCTCTTCTTATCCAACAAAACAGCTCTATGGGGAATTGAAAATTTTAGATTGAAAGCAACGATTATCATATTTCTCCTGAAAAATAGAAATTACTTGAAAAACTTACCCCACAATCGAATAATACGAGCACAAAACTCTGCAGCAATGCAAGTACCAAGAGCAAATGAAACGAATGGTCAAACATGCATTAAAAAATGTATTCTTGAACAAACTATAGATAATTCGTCAAAAACATTGTAGACGCAGCAAATTGATTCATATTTTTAATTTTTTTATTTCTTCTTGATTAGTTTTAATTTCCTTTCATGAGCTTATTGGAGAATTCAAAAATTAATTGTGTCCGCAATAACAGGTTGTAAACTAATGAGGTAAAAAAATCATGATTCTCATAGAACAAAACAAAAAAAACGTTTTTTTCCACAGACAGGTTTCATGTGAACCTAAGTGGCAATCGTTTTTATTTGTTCAACATCTATTGATATACTTAGGATACCTTCAATAATTAATGTAACAATTCTAAGAATATTTGGCAAATTGATATTATTATTATAAATACATGACATATTTTTGAATTTTGAATTTTAATTGACGAACGTATTTTGACGTAATTTTGACATAAACCATGTCAAAACTACGCGAATCCATTAATGCACTCAAATTGTTGAAAAACACTTATAAAAATAGTAATAATAAAGTAATCGCTGAAAACAAAGGCTCATTAACGAAATTTGGTGTGTAGTAGACCCGTTCTAGTAGATATGTGATGAAAAAATAAATAAACTGGTTCATCAGGGAATATTGTATCTGATATATAGGATTCACCCTGTGTAATATAAAAAAAGGCGAGTATGAAATATTATTTTATTGAACAATAAATATTGTGAGCCTAAAAGTGATATTATAGAAATGAATCTATGCACCTTCCTGCGTCTCATATATATCGTATGGAAATCGACACAATAACACTATATATACCGGGTGTCAACGAATCTATTAGACAAGTCATAATTTCTAGACTATTAGGTGTATCAAAACGAGATTTGGTACAGATAGTATTTTTACCTACGTATCTTTCATTTTTCATGATAGGATATAATCTTTAGTTACATCATTCATATCCATGCCTAATGGTTTACTTTTCTATTTTTCATTCTCTCCATAATACACAAATGAAACAACAGAAAAATAATTGTACAATCATAAGCTTTCTCCTCACAAAACAGCCCAGTCATTGTCCGAAAATAACTAGCAAAACATCCCCCCGAACCCACCCTTGCAATTCCGAAATCTATCCAAACTAAATTATATAGTATCGCACTCAAAAAGCCAAACAATAGCACATCAGGAGAAACTAGAACGCTCGCAAGGCCTTCCTTCAAACCCCATTATAATACCGGTAATATATTTGCCATTGAAATCTAGTTTGTATATTCCTATTCTACTTCCCATCATAATACTACACATAATAAACTGAATATCCATATGCGGGGTGGTGGGCGGACCTCTCGAAAACGTCACCGGCGAGAGGCGTGGCCAGTCGAGAGCGAGGCCCGATTGGCTGGCGCAGAGAGCCAACAGATGGGGTACAGTATCTACCACCGGAAAGCGTATCATTCAACAGTAACTGTCAGTCGGTGAATCATCCCCGTTGTGCACAGTGCTTTAGACTCTCGTGAAAAACTGTTACTTAAATGAAATGTTGCTGGTCTGATCGCCTGAACATGAGTATTCCTGGGAGCGGCGTCGATATGTCTGCTCTGATGTCGCAGCATCCGGTCTTGGGGGCTATCCCCCCAGCCTTCTTCCTGCGGGCCTCGGAGAGGTACCAGCGAACCCCAAAGTGCGCCAGGTGCCGCAACCACGGCGTCGTCTCGGCCCTCAAGGGTCACAAGAGGTACTGCCGGTGGAGGGACTGCAACTGTGCCAAATGCACCCTCATAGCGGAGAGGCAGAGGGTGATGGCAGCCCAGGTGGCCCTAAGGAGGCAGCAGGCTCAAGAGGAGAATGAGGCTAGGGAGTTGGGGATCCTCTTTCCGGCTCCTGTGCCTCAGGCAGCTTCGGAGGCTCCAGCTCCAAGTCCGTCGGTAACTGCTCCAGCTGATGTGGGAATGTCGCCTTTGATGCAGAGGAGTTCGTTCACTACTGCGTCTGATTCGTCGGAAGCGTCTAGTCCAAGTAAGTCCAGATTTCATATTCCACAGAAATAATAGATGAACCAAATGTACGGGGTGTTTCTTGATAGCATGCCAATATTTAGGAAGGTTAGTTATGGGTCTATTACTCAATGAGGTAACGAACAACAGAGTACTGAAGTCTTCAGAACAAACTTTAAAATAATTTTGATATGACACTGGATATTTTTGTAGGATGCACCTAGACATCAAAATGTATTTTCTGCTGTACTTTATCACCAGTTTAAGTGTGCGGCATTTATACTGGTGTCGGGACTGGTGATAGGTGAATTATTAATCAGACGGAAGCAGCGTTTACAAATAATACAATTAATTAATAACACAAACAAAACGACAAACAAAAAATAACACTGCAACCTCGTGGCGAGAGGAGAATCAGAATTAGCATTAGTTCCGGTCAAAATCCCTCAATTAACAGTCTGCCTCGGCTAGGAAAATGTGTTCCCAGTAACATTGGAAAATATATCTCTCGCAATGGTCGGGGTCATAAATTTAGTCAAGAAAGGTCAACCACTTGGTTCCTTTTCTTAATTCATAAAAGGTACCTACTCGAAAATTTCCAAGTGGTTTCTGTCGTTCTAAATGTCCGTATGTTTTTCGGCAACAAACTCTCTTTTCGAGAGAAGAGGGCATTTAAATGATATGCGATGAAATAATACAAAAATGATAAGTGAAAATTAAAATAAAAGAATTAACATAAAAAACCCAAGCAGATGGATATTTTGGACGACTGATCGATAATAGAGTTATTGAAAGGTAATTTCCTAACAAGAATTTATAATACAAACAGGAAATGATAATAAATCGACTTATCATTTTGTTTATTGTGTTTTGTTTTACAATAATTAGTTTGTANCAGTAAATGTGTTTCAGCAGTCATAGTGGGTTTTTACTAGGAACATGTTTTACTAGGAACTAATCAAGTACAACTGCCCGCGTTTCCAATGAGAATCATTCGACAAAAACTTTCTCAGAATTCTTCATCGACACAAATTCCATCCTTACAAAATGAAAATGATTAATAAATTCAACAGAAGAGCTCAATTTGAATAGTCAAAATTTTCGATACTGGAGTGATTCAAATTTCAATATGGCACGCCAAAGTCACACTCAACACTAGAAAGGAAACTAATGCCCCTGTAGTTTTCATACAAATTTTTATCACCTTTTTTATAAATTGGTACAACATTAGCAATTTTCAGTTTGTCAGGAAACATTCCATATTCTAGTGATAGATTCCATCCTTACAAAATGAAAATGATTAATAAATTCAACAGAAGAGCTCAATTTGAATCGTCAAAATTTTCGATACTGGAGTGATTCAAATTTCAATATGGCACGCCAAAGTCACACTCAAAAACGCCAAAAAAACTAAATGTTTGGGCAGAAATTTTGAGGAACCAGCACAATTCTTTTTGGAAGCAAACCTAAATTGTGGAGGATTTCTAATAATCAAGAAATGCCAAGCAACAACACCATAGTTAGATCCTTTATTCGAAGTGGGGTGGGTTTCCGACAAGATAGAGCTTCTCATTGCGTAGTCCGCGTGTGATACTTCTTCGATTATAACTTTTTGGATCGATGGATCAAAAGGAGAGTTTTTTCAGAATGGCCATCCAGGTCACCCGATTCGACTTCAGTCGACTTTTTTCTATGATAATGGTTGAAATCAAATGTCTACGAAACGGAACCAACTACTATAGATAATTTAGAGAAAGAAACTAGCAGGTGCTGTGAGCTACTGACATACCTACAAGTGATGGACATCTGCAAATAAGAAATTCGTTATCAAGCGCTTGAATACGTGACAACTAGACTGGGTGATTAACTATCAAAACTATTCATGATCACAAAACAAAATCTGCTTCCTATACTCACTAGATACGTTTTCAGTCCTCAATAATACCCAATTTTACAATAACATGCAAATGAATAATTTTTTTTAAGCAAAACTGTGGGTAGTTCAAACGACCAAAATGTAGATAAATACTGGAATTTCTAGAAGGTGACGTCAATCTAATAGAGCAGCCTTCCAAAACTGCTTGATTTGAACTTGTTATGTGTTTGTCTTACTACATCTTTTCAAAACGGTATATCTTTCGTTGAGACAAGTTTCGTCCAGATGATAAATCTTTCTATTCTACCATTGAAACCCTCTTATCTGCCATAGGTAATGAATCTTTCTCGAAAAAATCACCAACAAAAAGTGAACATAGATGGTTTTAATTCTGGTGTACCGCAAGGTTCCATTTCGGGACCTCTACTGTATGCTGTTCATATATCCCAATCTTCTACGATGTAAAATTTACCTGTACGCTGACGATACTCAGCTCTATCACACTTTGCCTCAGTCGAGAAAACATAATGCTTGCACCCAAATAAATCGAGATCTGAAAGCGTTTATTGTAACAGCGTCAAATCATTGCCTCATCATTATTGAGGCCTAAAACAAAGCAACTTTGTTATGTACTATATTATATGATATTATATGCTATTAATATACAAAAAGATAATGAACGTCTTGAAATTTTGGATGAGGTGAAACGCTTGGGTGTTGAATTGATGCTTTATTGAATTTCACGAGGCACGGTAACAAACTCTTTTAGCGATCATATTTTGTATTGAGAAATATTCACAGTCAGAGGCGTTTTTTTCCAGTGAGGCTAAAGTCTTTATTATCGCAAGCTCTCGAACTATTGAATGACAGTTATATGCAGATGTTCTATATAATCAATTCCTAACTAGACGAAATAAGCTAGATTTTAAAAAAGTGTTTGGGAATTATATACGCTATCACAAAAAAGCAGCAGCGAATTTCGCACAAACTTCATGATATTGCTTCGTTGAATAAGTAAGACAGGAAAATTTGGCATGCTGCAGCATTTTCATTAGCAAAAAATCTAGTTACCTTCAGAGGAAGATTATTTATAGAGCCGATGTGCGTAACCTCAATGTGGGATTACTGACACCACCAAGTTTTAGACTGGAATCTTTCTTTATAATTATATACCAGAATACATAAAACATGTTAGTATACACCGGTTTCGTGTAAATGTTATCTATGCTAACAGTATCAATTCTTATCTCAGATATGATTTCGGAAATAATGATTTACCAGAGTTATACAATACAGTAATATCTGTATTATTATGTCAAAAAAAAGGATGCTGTATTCAATGGACTAGAACAGGGGGAAAATATTATCTCTCGTCATTCCATTTGGATTCCAGGACATCGGCTAAGGAGGCACATCTCCACCGGCAGCAGGAAATTGCATATCTTGATGAGGATCTAGAAGTGATTTTGAATTGGGGTGAAAGTAACCAGGTTCAATTCAATGCCCCAAAAACCCAGGCATCGGTTTTCTCCAAGAAGATAAATGTCTCCGAACCGGATATAATAATGTCANTTCATAAATATATATCCCAACAACCGTAAGAAGTTTCAGGTTTTTGAAAGAGCTCCTGCATGACTCTCTCCATCCCAGTTTAGCCATTATTCGGACTGCCGACTTTTGTAATATGAAAATCCTTTCCACGGACGATCCCCTTCCCCAATTCAAAATCCCGTATCGCAAATGACAATGAATAGTGGCATAGTACAGGCTCAGCAAGATTTCAGCATTACAGTAGTTAGACAAGAATCTTAACGCGTAACAATGTTTACGTAGTTTTTCACAAAGTGAGTCGATATGTGGTATCCAGGTGAGTCTGTAATCATCTGTGATGCCTAATAATTTAGTTTCTTTAGAGGATTCTACATGAAAATCATCATCCTCATATATACTGAAAACTCGGACTCATTTGTAACCATAGTAAATTTCATCAGCATAGTTTTAGTTATATTGATTTTCAGGTGATTTCTACTTGCCCATGTTATAATTTGCTGGTATACCTTTCCAGTAATATCTGATAGAGTGGCCGAGTCTTTCTCTGTCAAAAGAAAATTTGTATCATTCGCATATGTTACTACGTGTACTGATGAAAGTTGTTGAAAATAGTGTAATAAGTCATTCGCAAAAATGATGAAGAAATGTGGTCCAAGTATAGATCCTTGAGGGACACCTTGCTCTATTTTCTGTTGTTCACTCACAGTGTCGTCACCAATCACTAGTTGCACCCGAGTTTTTTAGTGTTTTTATCAAATCAATTATGATGCAATTGAATCATTGCCTACAAAAGTATATCAAACGCTCGAAAAAAGTCACCCCTCTTTGAGCATATTTGCGGATATAACAAAAGCTTTTGATACAGTGTGTCACCAGAAACTCCTGAAATCCATTGAAAGTGCAGGATTGAGAGGCAATAAATATAAACTGATGAAATGTTATCTAGAAAGAAGAAAGCAATGCGTAAAAATTGACGGCAGACTCAGTCACTTTGAAACTGTGGAATTCGGAGACCCACAAGGTGCAATACTGGGCCCCATTTTATTCAACATATACCTAAATGATTTATACAATGTTGATACAGAAGGCCAAATGATCAGTTTCGCAGATGACACCGCAATTTTCTTTTCTGGTGAAAATTGGCAACAGTTGAGTCGACAAATATTTTCTCAAAATAAAACAATGGTTCGACTCCAAATTACTCACGATTAATTTCGATAAGACATAATGTCTTCTGTTTTCAATAATCAAAACCAATTTTCTGAATATTTCACATCTATCAATCACCGACAATAATAACACCTTCACTATACCCATAATCAAAAACATAAAATACTTGGGAATCTACTTAGATAGTCACATAAAATAGGACACTCACATAAAAAAGGTTAGTTTCAAATTGAGGAGCCTCATAGCAAAGTTTGAACATATCAAGAAATTTCTTGAAATAAGATACTTGAGAATTTTATACTTCGCACTGGTGGAATCACAATTGAAGTACGGAATAATAGCTTGGGGAGGTGCCTACAATAATCAAATGAACGGACTCGACGTACTCCAGAAATGGATACTAAAGATAATATACTCGAAAAATCGATTACATTCCAATGATGGAGTTTATCAACTAGCAGAAGTTTCAGATACTAAACAATTATTTTTGAACGTATTGATAGTTATAGCAGAAAAATGAAGTATCTAAAAATTACTATGTGCATATATATAATACTCGGGAAGGAGATAACCACCTTGCAGTGACTTTCGTCTGTAAAACAATATCCCAACGTTCATCATATTTCCTCAAACCCAGAGTATACAATGCAGTTCCCAGTGAACTGAAAACAATCAAATTGCTTAGCCTACTCAAGAAAAAACTGAAAAATTGGATTTCAAACCTTTCTAGATCATTCACCCATCAACTGATCGATATAAAGAATAATTTCTGAAATAATACAATAGGACTAAAAGACTGTTCTGTAGAGGTTTTCGTTTTCATTGTAGACTAAGTTTTCTTCTTCATGTTTGTATATGTATGTATGTATATGTACACGGTAATTGATCTTTCACGACAAGCATATGGATTGTTCATTGATTTTTCACGTGCGTTTGATTGCGTTAATCATAGCCTCTTGCTAGAAAAACTCTCGAGATACGGGGTTAGAGGAGTGCGACTCAATTTATTGACCTCCTATTTTGAAAATAAGAGATAAATAGTGAAAATTGAGGTGAATATAATTTCTGAAAATCACATTGCTGATGGTGTGCCTCAGGGATCCATTTTGGGACCTTTCCTGTATTTACTATTTGCAAATGATCAATTAGTGCATATAAATGGAAATTCTGTATATATTACGCTGATGACACGAATATACTGGTTATTGAAGATGTTATTGATATTGTTATAAATATAGCTAAAGCACTTTCAGTAGAGTTATCACTTGTTGTGAAAAAAACAACTTGATAATGAATAAAACAAAAACTAGTATGTTGCAATTCAGTTTTTTTGGCAAAAAAACAACAAGGGAATTCCAAGCAACTTCCCAACGCCCCAACCCAAAAACAACAACCAAAAAAATTCCCCCTAATATAAGTATCTTATGATCAGTTTTCTGCGAATTCCCATGTATGTAACCACAAGGACCAAATACCATAACTATGTATTCTATTATAAATCTCACCAACGTCTTCAATAACAATGCCCCCAACAAGACTGTTGAAACGTTTCTATATCCATTGTGATCCCCATATATTGAAGTTATTAATGGTCTGGTTTATTCATGAACCATAATCGAAAACGCGTCCAAGTATTGCACCACGAGCTTAAGTTTTCGAGGTTAGGTAGTAAATCTCTTTAATTGAGCGCCCCTCTTTCACTTCTTCTACTAATGGCTCTCGAAAACGATACAAGGGTCATTAGTGAATACTTCACTTACACTGCAGGGGTGAATTTTACTAGAGGTTTGATGATTTTCCGTATATTGGCTTTCGAACGAGTTTTTCTTAATGAAACATTATTATTTCATCTACAAAAAATATTTGCTCATACCAGAACAAGAATACTGTCTAATAGATTCAATTCACTTCATAACTTCGAAATTATACCATCAAAAACGTATGTGAATTTCTGGAACTTCAACTAGCGTTTTCTAATATGACTAATAACCAGTCCGTGCAAAGCTTATCATCTGAAAATGGAAATTTTAACGTAATGATTGACTATATTGTCAAACATGCGCCAAACTAACTGACTATTATGAGGAAATAAGTATAGCTGAGGCACCAGTCAATCTAATAATAATACCGATGGTCCTCAAACACGACACAACCCCTGGCGAAAGCACCAAACTCTTACGAAGGTTCGGAATAGATGAACCCTTCAATCTAACAGACCACTATTATAATCTTTATGCAGTCATTGTTCACTGTGGTTCTGGCGTTGAATATGGTCATTATTACGCCTTGGTCAAAGACGAAACGGACTGATTTAAGTTTGACGATAGTCGTGTCACGAAGTGTTCTGGCGATGTATTGAATTTATTGGAGTCCCTGGAGATACCCTACATTTTGTTTTTATGAGGACATTGTCAGATCAAGATCTTCAGATGATGTGGGGTTTTCCCCACATCATCTGAAGTTTTCCTGCATCTGCAAAAGCAAATGAGCCACTGGAATCAATGAAGTCGCCCCGGAGCGGTTGTTGTTTCATAATTCCATTAAAGTATTATTTCAGTGCGTTGATAGAAACAAAGTCATCGAATTGAAAGAACTTAGTGCTGGTGACTTCAGTCTAATGATATTTCGTGTTAGACTTGTAAAAGGAATGTATTCCAATTGACCAAGTACTGTTATTTACAGCACATTTGCACCTGGTGTATACAATTACATCACGCAATGTATGTGATAGTTTTTTTCCATACATAGTCATAGAGAGGGTAACTTCTGATATATATGTTATTTTGATGAGTCCAAACATGCTCTGCTATTCCTCATTTGCTGGTTTCTCCTCGGTGTGTGTGTTTCTTCATATGTGAGTCTCAGCACTCGCAGGGTATCCTGTAAATGCAATTTTTGGAATCGCAGTCCGCGTTTGGCGGCCTGGTTTTCGTGAAGCTGCTACGGATAGTATTCCCAGATCTGAAACAGGTTCTGATGTTATACTTGGACCCAATCCATCTTATTCTTTCCGGCAATCCTCTGATTTAGGGAAGTACAAGTACTGGTTGTAGCCGCTTCTCTTTCTTGTGGAGCTCTTGCTATCTTCTAGCTAAAGCTTGTTCCAACATCACTTTGGGGCAACCAATTGTTCAAGGTCATTTTTAATGATGCCTAGTTCCTTTTCGAGCCCGAAAGCACGGTCTAGTAGAGTCTTGATGATTCCTATCTTAGTCGATTGATGTTGGTTTGATTCATGGTTCAGATAATGTCCTGTGTGAGTGGGTTTTCGATATACAGATGTTTCCCATTTAGTGTCGGTTCTCTTCACCAATACGTCTAAGAATGGCAAGGAAGTCCACAACGAATTGAGTTTAGCTGTTGCTTGTATTTTATTTCATTGTAATTTCAGTTTCTTTTCTCAATATAATTGTTATTTTTCAGCTAAACCTTTTAAATTTTTTCACAGATTCTTTCAGAGATTTCATATCAATTTATATCATATTAGACAATGGAAGTCCGAAGTAATGAAATACACCATGAAACATTGTCAACCACCTTCAAACAAACATCTATATAGTTCTTGAAAACTGACAAAAACCAGTATAGATCGTACCTTTGAAGACCACTGTCAGCAAAGACCATTCTAAGAAGAGAAAAATACCTTTTAGTGCAGAATGGATAAATAGTGAACTGAAAAAGGTAATTTTGAAACGAGTATCAGACATATTCAGTCATGAGAATTGAAAAAATTTTTGAGCTAGTGCTACTAATTACTAGACAGTTTGATTATATTTTCTAGACAAAGTTGATAATAAATATTATTAAAAAAATTATTACTTTGTAGACAAATACTGATTATGATTTGAAAAATGCAAACATTTCTTAAATGATCATTTAAACATTTGAAATATAAAAATAACGATTATAGTCGATTGAAACTTGATGACAAATTATAAAAAAATACTCACTTAGTCAATTTGTTTATAAACAATTCATAAACAAATAGCGCTAAACATTTTTTGTACAACTTACCGAATGTCTTCCTTCAATACAAAAATGGAAAAATGATGATAAATAAAAAAAATAACAAAACTTGGATTATCTTTTTTTGTTACAATAAAAAATTACAATGAACAAATTCATATTTTTTCATCTTTCATAGTGTGATTTTATCAAGTACACTAACATGAAGTGTTTAAAGAAGCGAAAACATTTTTTAGAAAATCAATTAAAGGTTTTTGTGGTCTTCAATGCAGACGCAAGTGACGTGAAATATTGTTAATTAATAACTAGCTTTTACAATAATTCACTTTGAGATTTTTTCCAACGAGAATCAATTCT